CGATTGATTCCAGAACATTTCACCATCTCTAAAAGAAACCCTGTGCTTACCCAACAGCAGCCAGCCCCCTATCCCTTCAGCTCCCCCAGCCCTGGGCAACCACTAATCTGCTCTCATCTCTGTAGAATTAACCTATTCTGGACATTTTATATATTGATCATATATCAAAAGACGATCCTTGGCACTCTTGTCGAAAATCAGTTGACTGTAGATGTGTATGTCAGTTTTCAGAAATTACAGGCCACCACCTAAACCTAAGCTGTAAAAAGTGGCTTGCAATCATCCTTTGTGGGGGGGGGGGGGGGTAAAAAAAAAGGAATAGACTAGAAAATAGAGCACTTCCTCCATTGTCAGGGGGAGGATGGTTTTGCAAAACTGTTTTTAGTGTATTACACACTCAGGAAAGGGTAAGGCTTGATGAGTTTCACAAAGTGAACACAGCACATAACGAGCAGCCCCCTGAAGCCCACCTGCACCCCAGTCACTACTCCTTTACCCCAACGGTGAGCACCAATCCCGAACCTATCTCCCTGGATTCGTTTCACGTATTTGTGTATTTCCTATAAATGGAGCCACGCAGGGTGTATTCTTTTGAATGTGGCTTCTTCTGCTCAGCATTTCATCTGTGATGTTCGTACATGTTTTGGCCAGCTCTATGTTTCATAGAATAGTAGAAGAGAACAATAGAATATATTCATTCTCGTCGCCTGTAGTATTCCATCAAGTAGGGTAGACCTGATGGGTTTATCCATTACACTGTTAATGGACATTTAGGTTGTTTCCACTCTTTTCCTGGTACAGAAAACAGAAAAGCAGGGCTGCAAAAAATTCTTTAACGTGCATTGTCTCCCGCATAACGTCTTCACCCCCTGGGGGTTCTTCCCCTCATTGAGGGTAGGAGGAGGGTGGCCTTGTCACCCCCGAAGCCTCCAGGCTGAAAGTTCAGTCGGGCGTTAGTGCTGGGGTGAAGGAGGGAGGGCCCAGGGATTTTAGGATTGAGATGAGGTCCAGGCATTCATTTGGTGGGTGATGTCCAAGGGGAAAATCTCTTCCTGACTCAGGATTGCTTCTGGGTGGGGCATGGGGACTGATAACCCTCTGTGTGGTGTCTTTCAGCCCTTTGGCCGAGGAGCTATGAGGGAGTGCTTCAGGACGTAAGTGATTCAGCCTGGTTCTTGGGGCCCTGCCCGAATTCCCTCAGGCTCCTAAGAGCAGGGGCAATGCAACAGTTCTGGCTGAGAAACTGAGACAGTGGCCTGTGCTTTTTATAGGCCAAGCCTCTCTGCTCTCCCTTGGACCACATGATGGGCCTGGCTATGGGGATGGTCTCGGGGAGGACATGGAATACCCCACTAACCTCTGCTCTGGTGTTTGGAGGCCAAAAGATGTGGGATAAGAGACCTTTAACAATGTCCCTTGGTCCCCTTCCCAGCTCTTTGAAGGGTGCTGTGAGTCAGGCTGGGTCCCTGGTGAACCCAGGTGCCCAGGTGGGTCCTCTGCTGCCTCTCCTCCCAGGAAGAAGCTCTCCAACTTCCTGCACACCCAGCAGTGGAAGGGGGCCTCCAACTACGTGGCAAAGCGCTACATCGAATCTGTGGACAGGGACGTGTACTTCGAGGATGTGCGTCTACAGATGGAGGCCAAGCTCTGGGGAGAGGAGTATAATCGGCACAAGCCCCCCAAGCAGGTATGTGACAGCCCTACCTGCCACCTTCCCACACAAGGCAGCCGGAGACAGTGACTGGAGACCAGGGCAACAGTGGTACCAGTCACAGGTTCCCTTCATGGTTTTGGTGGTGTTGTTGTTTTGTTTAAAAAAATTTTTTTTAATGTTTATTTATTTTTGAGAGAGAGAGAGAGAGACAGCATGAGTAGGGACAGAGAGAGAGAGAGGGAGACACAAAATCCGAGGCAGGCTCTGAGCTGTCAGTGCAGAGCCCACCGTGGGGCTTAAACTCACGAACTGTGAGATCATGACCTGAGCTGAAGTCAGAGGCTCAACCGACTGAGCCATCCAGGTGCCCCTCCCTTTATGGTTTTAACAGTAGCTAATAATGATCATCATTTATTGAGCATGCTGGGCCAAGTACACTGTATGCAGGCTCATTTATTCCTAAAACCAGAGCATGGAGGTTATTTGAGATTAAAATGCTTTTATCCCATTTACAAATGGGATCCGTTAGTCAGGATTTTTGTTTGCATGTGTTAGAAACCCACTCAAATGGGTTTAATCCAAAAAAGGAAGTTTTGGCTTTATGTATGTAACTGAGAAATAGGGCTGGCCACAGGTGTGGCTGGATCCAGGACCCAATAGGATATTGAGAATCTCCTCCATCTCTAGCCTTGGTGTTCTTCCGTGTGACATCACTCACAGGCAGCTTCTGTTTGTAGTGATGTGTCGGCCACTAGCAGCTGCAGGCTCACTTTCTGTCTTCTCAGAAACCTTGGTGGGATATGACAACACTTGTTTTTGCAGAAGTTCCACTAAGTCTCAGAACTGGGTTTCATTGGCTCTGATTAGGTCAGGTGCCTATTGCTGAGCCAATCACAATGGTCAGGGGAGGGAATATGCAGATTGGGGAGGCATGAGCCATGTGCTCATCCATAGAGGCAGCAGTGTGGGTCCTTCCCCTAGACTATGTAGACTGAGGCTGGTGGCTCCTAAGAAAAAGTAGAAGGAGGGGAGAATGGATAGCATGTCTGCCCCTGGGGAGCCCCAGGCTCAAAGAGATTAAGTGACCTGTGCAAATGGTCAGGAATGGAGCCAGGGCTCAAATCCAGGCTTTCCAAGCCCCTGCCCATTTGGCTCCTTCACTGGAGCCCCCAGGGTGTTTACTGACCCCAGGCCTAGCAGAATTTCCTGTTGCCTATGGGCATTTGAGGAAATAGCGCTCTGTGCCTCTGCCCTGCCTAATTCGCAGCTCAGCTCTCCCGTTGTTTGAACACCTGCTAGACACAGGACACTATCTCCTGGGAGCTTTGGGAGAGCTGCACTTCCAAGAATCCAGCAGAATTTATTGAGTGCCTGCTGTTTGCAGGGCCCTTGATTAAGCACACTTGGGGTAGACACAAGAAACCACAGTCCCCACCCACGGGGCCTGTGACCACCTCACTGCATGCCATCCTGGCCTCCTTTCTCTTCCTTCCTAAGCTTGTTCCTGCCTCAGGACCTTTGCTCTGACTGTGCCCCCGGCCTGCATCATTGTATCCCCCACCCCTCCATCCTTGCATGATGAGCTCCTTCTCCTAGTTCAAGTCTCAGCTCATATGTCACCTGCTCAGTGAGGCTGCCCCAGGACATCCTGAATGAAGTAGCCCTTCCTCTGCTGTCTCCCTCTGTCACATCATTCTGTTTGTTTTGGTTCCTTTTATTGGGAGCAGTTGGCGCCATCTGAAAGAGTCTTGTTTCTGTAGTTAATATTTTGGTTGCCTCTCTCCCCCAAGGACACGGATGTTACCTGTCTTATTTACTCTGTATCACAGTCCCTAGGGGGTCACTAAACAATGTGGTTGTTTGAAATGATAAGGGAGAAGGATGTAGTTGTTTGAGAAGGAACAGGCTGTTCCCTCCCGGCCACATCCCTGTAGTGAGCCCACTGGCCAAGCAGGTGGCCTTGCCATAGACTTCCTTGTAGGGATGGAGCCAGCATTTGGGGTGAGAACCTCTGAGAACCATCTGCTCCTTCCCTTTCGGCTGGTTCTCAGAACTGAGGCCAAGTTTAGGGCAACACTCAGCTCAGGGCCTCTTCAGCCTCTGCAGCTGTTGTCTGCCTGTCTAGCGACTCAGCCAAACGTTTCCTTGGATGGTTGTTTCCTTGGGAAACCCAGACCTGGATCCTTCTACGGTGGGTGTCATTGTGGGGGATGGGGAGCCATGGGGAGTCAGTGTCTCAGGTCTTACCAACCTCACTTTGTAAACAATTCACAAGACTTACACGTTTCCTTCCCAATATTAGACATGTGCTTGTTAAAAGAAATTCGGCAAGGAATGTGTATAATTCCCCATTGCAAGGAGAGAACCACTGGGTATAGTTTGGTGTTTATTGCTCTAGAGTTATGTCTGCTGGTAATGATAACATCAGCAAACGTTGACAGACTCTTTCACGTATCAGCAGATTTCATTCTCACACTACGTGTGAGATCCCATTCCACAGGTGAGAAAACTGAGTTGATGAACTGACTTGCCCATGTTCACAGTATTAGTGTGAGACACCTGCTTAGTTGCTTAGCATACAGACCCACAAATGTGTAGTAAGGCAAAATGGTTTCTTTCTCATCTGATGGTCCCATTTTGGTGGGGGGCTCAGGGTGGGCTGGTGCCTCACTTCTTTAAGTCATCCAGAAGCCTGGTTCCTTCTGTCTTGTTTTTCTGCCTTACCCCAGGGTGTGGCCCTGGAGCACATGGCCAGGTCGGCCTCACTGGGAGATGTCCACTCTATAGCCTCAGGAAGGCCAGAGGAGGAGGGACAGGCTGGGGTTACATCATCACTACTGCTCAATTCCCATTGGATGAGCTTGGTCACATGGCCACACCTAGCTGCAAGGGAAGCCAAGTGATGTCATTCCTCCTGGACGGCTGTGCATTGTGTTGGAACTCAGTTGGGGGCTGTCTTAGTCCCTTTGTGCTGCTCTAACAGAACTTTTTTATTTTAAGTTTATTTATTTTGAGAGAGCATGAGCGGGGGGAGGAGCAGAGAGAGAGGGAGAAAGAGAATCTTAAGTAGGCTCCACACTGCCAGCTTGGAGCCAGACATGGGGCTTGATCCCACAAACCTCGAGATCATGACCTGAGCTGAAACTGACTGAGGTTGCTCGACTGACTGAGCCGCCCAGGCTTCCCCGGACTGGGCAACTTACAAATGACAGAAATTTATTGCTTACAATTTTGGAGGCTGGGAAGTCCAAAACCAAGGTGCCAGCCTGGTCACATTCTGGTGAAGTCCTCTCCTGGTTCATAGCCGGTGCCTTCTTGTTGTGGCCTCACATGGCGGAAGTAGCGAAGGAGCCCTGTGGTCACTTTTATCGGGACACCAGTCCCGTTCATGAAGGCTTCTCACTCATGACCTGATCCCCTCCCAAGGGCCCCGCCGAATAGCATCACCTTTGAGGGTTAGGACTTGAACATATGAATTTAGGGGAGACGAAGTTAAGCCATCACAGGGCTTTTCATTCTCAAAAGAAAAGGGGACAGTGGATTCTGGGGACATTTGGCCTGCAGAGAGCTGCTGACTGATGGAGCCAGGATTGGAGCCCAGGCAGGCGGCTCCTCCCAAGCATTCTGTGTCGGAGGCACTTGCCACCTGGCTCCTGCCTGAGCTGCTCCCCTCCCACCAGGTGGACATCATGCAGATGTGCGTGGTGGAGCTGAAGGACAGACCAGGCAAGCCTCTCTTCCACCTGGAGCACTATATCGAGGGCAAGTACATCAAGTACAACTCCAACTCGGGCTTTGTGCGTGATGACAACATGCGCCTGACGCCACAGGTGAGGCCCCTGGAGGGGCGGGTCCCTGTGGGCATGAGGTCTCACCCCGAGGGGGCCCTCAAGCCTCCCGGAGTGCCCCGAAGTCGATTCTGTAACGAGACATGCCAGCCAGCTTCTGTCCCTGCAGAATTAAACAGGGCTCCTCCTTTATCTCTTCCTCTATGCAACCTCTTCTTCTTCTTTTTTTTTTTTTTTTAATGTTTATTATTTATTTTTTGAGAGAGAGAAAGAGCATGAGCAGGGGGTGGGCAGAGAGGGAGGGAGACACAGAATCCGAAGCAGGCTCCAGGCTCTGAGCTGTCAGCACAGAGCCTAACGTGGGGCTCAACCATGAACTGTGAGATCATGACCTGAGCTGAAGTCAGACGCTTAACCGACTGAGCCACCCAGGCACCCCATATGCAACCTCTTCTTGCAGAGAAAGGCCCCACCATGGGCAGAACTGAGGTGTTGCAGCCCCGCAGTGTGTGGCTGACGTGTGTATGCGTAGTCCACAGCCTGGTCTCTTGTGGTTGGTCACCTTAGTCTTCCTGTCTCCCCCGCACCCGACCCCCAGGCCTTCAGCCACTTCACATTTGAGCGTTCCGGGCATCAGCTGATTGTGGTGGACATCCAGGGTGTGGGCGACCTCTACACCGACCCGCAGATCCACACCGAGAAAGGCACTGACTTTGGAGATGGCAACCTAGGTAGGTGGGGAAAGCCAGCCCGTTTCCATGGAGACCACACTTCCTGTGCCCCCACATCTCTCAGCTCTTCCTGCACACGAGGAAACTGGCTGAGGTGGTAGATCGGCCTTTCCAAGATGGTGGGGGTGGAAGCTTGGGACGCCTGAGCCCTGCCACTTTAGTGCCTGCCCTTTCCGTGGTTTTGGTGCCCAGCACTGCCCTGCCCCTGTCACAAAGCAAGGCACTGCTCCAGACTCCCCTGCTCTGCCCGCAGGTGTCCGGGGGATGGCGCTCTTCTTCTACTCTCATGCCTGCAACCGGATTTGCAAGAGCATGGGCCTCGCTGCCTTTGACCTCTCACCAAGAGAGAGGGACACTGTGAATCAGAACACCAAGCTGCTGGTGGGTGCCCAATGAGAGCCTGCTCAGGGGGACCGGGCCCTTCTTCTGCCAGGCAGTGAGCCGCGCTTCTCTGTGATGGCAGTCCAGGCCCTGCAATGCTTACTTGAAGAGTTTCAGGGCCAGAAGGATCTCAGCCCCATCCGTGGCCCTCATTCCTCCCAGGATCAGTGCACAAAGCCCTTCCGAGTGTCCCCGCTAACCCAGTACCTGGGGTCTGCTTGATTGGACCTATTTTGACCAGAGTGAAGAGCCCAAGTGTGTAGAGATAGTGAGGGAGGTGTGTGGTACATGTATTTGTGTGGCATGTTGATAAATGGCTGGACTAGACCTGGACCTGGCTCTTCGGGCACCTTGCTGTGTCCAGGATAGGCCCCCCGCTTTTACCGTGACCAGATGTAAGAGATTGTCAGGACAGACCAGCTTGGGATTCTGGATGTGTGGCCGCAGGTATGCCCCAGCTCAGGGCTGTAGAGTGTGGTTAACACTTTGGGATTGCTGGCTGGCTTTGAGCTCCTGCACCAGATGCCCCTTCTTAGAAGCCTGTGGGTTAATCCCCCACTGGTTATTTTTAGATTTCCTGCCAGTCCCTAAACAGGCATGTGTGGGGGCCGTTGACCGAAAGGGCCTCAGGGTTTGGGTAAACAGCACGCTCCCGGAAGAGCCCTTCTCTCCCCAGAGGGTTCCTGTGTGACATGGGTGTCCGTTAATTCTCCAGCAATCAGCCAAGACCATCTTGAGGGGGACAGAGGAGAAGTGTGGGAGCCCCCGAGTAAGGACCCTCTCTGGGAGTCGCCCCCCCCTGCTCCTTCGCCTTTCAGAAAACTCTGGAGATGAGAACATGAGTGACGTGACCTTTGACTCTCTCCCTTCTTCCCCGTCTTCGGCCACACCACACAGCCAGAAACTGGACCACCTCCGTGAGTGACGTTTTTGGTCCCTGGTAGTTGTGATTGGAGGGGACAGGCACCAGAAAGAACACAACTAAACTGGCTTTCGCTTATGTTAGGAAATCAGATATGCTAGTCAAAAAGATTCATGGCCCAGATGGTTGTATGAGTGAGTTTGTTTAATAAGTTTTCAAGACCCAAGTCTTCCGAATGCTTCAAAAACAGACCCTGTTTTAGATTACATTTTTTTCAGTGTGTTTCATGAAACTAGCAAAACCTTTACACCAAAATTTCACAAAACAGCAAAAAAAGAAAACTGCATTCCAACCCCACTTATAAATATGCAATACAGAAATTCTAAATAAGGTATTAACAAAAACTGGTAGTGTCTTTGAAAGAATAGTCCGTCATAATCAGATAGTGTTTTTGCAAGCATCTGAGAGTTGTTCAATATTAGGAAATCTGAACGACCTATGAATAGATCAGAGGAGGAAAACGGAATCATTATCCTCAAAGTTAAAGTGATAGAGTTTGCTGATAAAGCGGAGGGGAGGCACGGCTGACTCCAGGGTTTTGATCTGAAAAACTCTAAGGGTGGGGTGGCCATTTATTCAGCTGGGGGACGCTGTAGAGGAACAGAAGAGGAAGATTTTAGTGTCAAATGTCAAGCCTTTTAGACATTTCCACTAGAAGACCTTGGGTATAGTTTGAAGCAGGAGTTGACAGGCTCTCCTTAGAAGGCCAGAGAGTAAATATTTTAGACTTTGGGGACCTATGGCTTCTGCATTAGCAGCGTGAATGTGGCCATCGACAGTATGTAAATGAGTAGGTGTAACTGTGTTCCAAGAAAGACATTAAATTTTCTATTTCATGTACTGTTCACATAAATTACTATTCTTTTAATTTTTCTAACCATTTTAAATGGAAAAACCATTCTTAAAAACCATATAAAAATGGAAACAAGCTGGATTTGGCTGTGGAAGCTCAGGGGAGGAGACAGAGACTGGGAACCACCAGGAAGGAGGTGGTTGGTTGTTAAGCCATCTGAGGCTTCTCTAACTTGTAGCTACTCATTGAGCCCCAGATATACAAATGGCCATTCTTCTTTCACACCTGCTCCTCACTGAAGGCCAACTGTGGCCCAGGCACGTGTGCCTCTAAGCACGTTGCACAAGTTATTTGCATTACAGCCTTGAGGAGGCACGGGGGTGAAGCTACGTGCTTAGGACCCCACAGCCAGCAAGTGGCAGACTGAATAAGTTCTTGAGGAAGAACTGTAGCCCTCCAGGTACTGACAGCTTTCTTCCCCCGTTTTTGCACCATTTGCAAAAAAATTTTTAAAAAGGCCTGGTGACAGGTGCGTTCAGCCCTAGATTGTAGTCAGTCTTTCAGACAGTTTTAATGGTAGAGCCAGTGCGTTATCTCTGTTTTCTCCTGCCCAGATTGGCCTGTGTTCAGTGACCTTGACAACATGGTACCCCGAGACCATGACCATCTGGACAATCACCGGGTAAGTTGGAGAGGGATCTCCTGGTCTGCTCTGGGCACTGCCAGGGGCCACAGGGAAGTGTGGATGACTCTCAGCCTCCTGCCCAGGGCAGTGGTGCCCTCTGAGAAGAGCTGGATCCATTGCAGTTCCCGGAGATGGTAGCAGAAGAGGGAATCCAAATTAGCAACAATGCAACCTTCTGATAAATGCTGAGCAAGCTCAGCCCTGGTGTGGTTTGGCCACACGTGTGTGGACAGCTGTCCTGGGGGGAGGGAGCTGTCCTGGGTTTCAGACGAGTGACTTATAGCACAATCCAGCGTGATGCCCTCAGGTTGGATAAACAGGACAGGTTTCCAACAGCTTCTGGGTGACTCTGCAGAAGCTGAAGGCACTGCATTTGCATTCAGGCAGACATATTACAGTGTCAAAGTAAAAACTCACAGGAATTTTAAAAACAGACTTTGAGAGGTGTCACCTGTGCCTAGACCTCAGGTGCACTTTAACTCGCACCCTGGGATTGCTCCAAAGGTTAAAGTTCACTCTTGACTGCTTTTCAGAGTTTTTGAGTGGAAGGAAAAAAATAAGCGTAAGACTATTTCAAGAGTTTGATAGACACTCTATGCCTCAACAACCCGTGAGGTAGATATTATTTTTGATTCCATTTATAATAGATTTCATTCTGGAATTAGAATACATTGTAAAATTTCAGGGCGCCTGGGTGGCTCTGTCGGTTAAGCATCCAACTTCGGCTCAGGTCATGATCTCACGGTCCGTGAGTTTGAGCCCCGCGTCGGGCTCTGTGCTGACCGCTCAGAGCCTGGAGCCTGCTTCGGATTCTGTGTCTCCCTCTCTCTGTGCCCCTCCCCTGCTCACTCTCTGTCTCTCAAAAA